TCGGTTTATTCATACAAGAATTCTAAAAAAAAATTATTATTAGCCAAGACTTAATCATACTGCAATTAATGTTATTTATAGTCTACATAGAACTAAGGAGATAGGGATCCTCTGGTTGATAACTATGGTAATTCTGTTATGATGGATTCCCTGTTTGGTAATCCCTGGTCTTAATCAAGGATTATAAACCAGGGAATTCTCCCTTTCTTGATACCAGGAGAGAGAATTTTATAGCTTCAGGTGGAGATGTCTCAGCCTTTTATAATACTTTATGTTTTCGAAAATTTAAAACACGTTAAAAATAATATAATTCTAAATAAAATAATGTGCATTTTTTTGTATTTTGGAAAGAGGGGCATGTTATTCAAGCAAAGGTGAAAGGAGTGCCTGGGACAAAACACTTTAAGAACCACTGTATTAAGAAATGATAAGATATGAAATGAGTTTAAAATGTATTATCGTAGTAAAATGAAAAAGTAAGCTTACGAAAATGACAAATTCATAAAATACTTTTATATTCTGTGTATATATATTAATTCTCTGTAATTAAAATAAATGCAGAATTTTGTTTATTGCAGTTCTACTACCAGAGTAGCGACCATAAGCAGAATCCCGCACCCCGTATTAGCACTTTGAACAAACTGATTTATGATACAGAATGGATGAGTTAGATATGCAGAGGGAGATAAGATCGACTGAATTAACTAGTTAATCTTCACCAACTTTTGCTTCTTGATAACAACCCTATTGGATGAGTTAATGTCTTTTGTTGTAGGCAAAGTCAAGGCTGCGTTAGCTGTGGTCAAACTGCATTCGGTCAAAGTACGTCCCCTTAATAATAATAAAAGAAGCATAATAATCATTCCACTTGCTATAAATGTTTACATTAATAAATAAAATAATAGTTGATTCTCTAAACTTATGTATTAAATAAATTGATACTGGATAATTAAACAAAAATTTTTAAAACTTCGTATTTATGACAATAACTTAATGACCAGGAAACAGTTAAAATATTTAATCCGTGCGTGTCTCCTAATTACCCCATTTCTAAATGTCTGTCATTTCGCTTAATTCTACAATATATTTCTGAGATTTTGGATCTGCTAATTAAACATACTTTGTATTTTGTTTTTATCGACTGTTCAGTTTTTAGACGGTTACTGTGAGTACAGGTAAAATATATTTCGAAAGAGATTGCTAGATTTATTGAGATCATAAACTTTATATATAAATTAATTTAAACTGTGTAGAATGTGCTAAATCCGAAATTTTTCTAAGCACAGGTGGACCATCCGCTGAAGAACTGGAAGCAATTGATGAAAGAGTAAGATTTATTTGTACATATCACGTGTAAAATGCTCTATCTTTTAGCTAACAATAGAACCATTCTTTGTAGTATGTGAAAACGGAGAAAAAAAAACGATTTTGATAGGAAAAATAAATTATTGGGAAAATATATTAGTTTAGCAAAAGTTTTTTTTTCCATTCGTAAAATTAAGGGAAAATGATCAATATTGAAAAAATGGAAGCCACTCATATACAAACAAGCCCATAATTTTATGCCTTATATAAAACATATTTTCGAAATGCTCTTCAGACTGTTTATTCTATCTTAAAATACTAAAGTATTGATGAAATTTTCTATTTTTGATGTAAGTGACAGTTAAAAATAAAGATTTTAATCCTGTTTTGAAAACTAAACTTTTTTCAACTGTATTTTCATTGCACTCTAATAAGATATGCACATATCCAAAATAAACACACTGAATTTTGCAGTTACTAATTCTTAATGCAAATATATGATATTTCCGTGTCTAAGAGCCTACTGATGTCTGTGTTAAATCAGAAACAAGCACATAGCAAGAGAAAAATGTAATTTAGGAAAAGAAGTGAACACCGAAGTTAAATATTAATAGAGCAAACTGTATTTATTTGAAAACTGATTGGTTCTGATGACATTACATTATTACGAAATATTAAGTTGGAATTTATATTTTAATTAAAATGATTTTAAGTAATAAATGTGGTAAAAGTGAATAAGTTGAAGTTCTATAAAAATCGGCAGTATTTAAAAGTGTTTATAAGCAAATAAATATCATTTAAGTTAAAAATATAGTTGAGTTTCTAAACTACCATTTTCTTTCTGAGCTTAATATTATGACAAACAAAATTTTACTGACTTCAGAAGAAATATCGCTTTTATATCCTTATATTATTTCTTAATCCTTTTGTTGATCTCCTTTTTTTAGCTGCTAGAGCTTGAAGAAGCGAAAGCTTTATTTCTGGCCGATCATGTGAGTTTTTAAATATTTTATACTTATTCAATATTTTCTTACATATTTTAAAATTCCGTATAATATTACAAAAAAAAACAGAAATATGAAGTTAAAGTTCTGTTGTACAGTAGGGGTATAAAATCAGAAAATCGTTTTCAAAATATCCAAAAGCGAAAGGTTTTTCAAGTTCAATTAATAGTTCAGAAATTTTACTTCACAATAAAAGCGACGTATAATTTCGATGCAGCTCTAATCCTAATGATATTTTTTTCCCTAAAGAAGAGAGACTCTTTCAGTTTGTTTTGGCGCAGCTTGAATGCTGTTGATGAGATTGTTAAACTAGGTTATTTTGTTTTAATATTCCAATAAATAGGATTGCGCATTTTAATTCACAAAATTACTACCTAACCACTATGTATAGATGCGTTTAATATTAAATAGAATTATAGTAGAACTTCGTAGATACGCCCGCGCCATTATTGTTCAGGTTATGCAAAAAAGAAAGGATTGTAAAAAAAAATTATAATAACAAGAAAGGAATGAACAAGACGCGAAGTAGCAGACAGGAATGCTCATAATAATACGCAGTTTTCATAATATCTACATTTTCAAAACTTAATATAGGTGACAGAAGTAAAATTGAAAGGACACACTTTTACATAGGACTTTATTTCCGATGTTACTAAATCCTTGAAAGAGTAATGCACTATAAAGTCAAAATAAATCCTTTAAAATACGCAAGGATTTTATTATTAAATTTAGCATTTTTTGAGAGCTTCTGCTATATAAATACATTTTCTATCACGGAGACTTGCGCACCTCGGAAAATTATACAATCATGAGCAAACATGAAATAAGCAATGAGAAACAAAGGAAAAAATGTGAAAAAAATAGGACAGTAAAACCATTAATTGAATAAATAAAAATTCAGTACTGTTTCTTGTAATATGATGAAAAGTATAATTTAAGAAAAGTTTAAGACTAGTGGATTAAGGTATTTGGCCTGATTTTATTTGATTTGATTAAATTATTTATTTGATTTGATTTGATTTGTTTTTTTTATTTGATTTGATTTGATTATTTGATTTGATTAAAATGCTTAATATGTTCTCTAGAAATTGCTTTCGGGTATTTAGTATTTACTAAGCAAGTTTACATTTATTAAATGATGGGTACAAACGCTCTATGTGGACGTCCATATGAATATCTGGCAGGGGAAAGGAGTATTATGATTCTTCATGCAAGATATACGTGGTGAAATTCGTTTGTTTGCATGATGTCTCTATGTACGAGTTCCTCACGTCAATAAAGAGCAGTGATGCAATCTCTGTCGAATTCATTCTCACTCCATCATCTGTCGGCTCATTTAGTATTTTAATTTGCTAATGCAAACAGCACTTTTACATAAATTACATGAATTCTTATAGCAGCAAACAGTACGTATTTTTTGGTGTGCGCTTTCTGTATGCTTTAAACGATCTTTGCGCGTTTATTGTTGTGCAAACTTTATCCTTACCATACCTGGTTAAGAAATATTTACATGTTACGTTTTAAGATTGTTATACGATTATTTTAAGGAGAGGAAAATTACATTTTCAAAGAGTGTATGTATAAAATGGTCAGTCTCTAACATTAGAAAACAGAATTTCTGGTCAACGTTTTCTGCTAATCGACAGTAAATACTTTAATTCATACAGCATTTTTAAGTACAAAATTGCGTCATTTAAGTATTATACTTATTCGAGGTTTAGCAGAAGCATACTGCAGACTTTATATAACAGTTCATGTATCACATCAGTTCTTGAACTTATCAAAATTACTGTTATATCATATTTCTTAGTGAAAAATATTCTAATAAGGAAATCTCTTTCTTAAAAATTATATTAAAATGTTTACTATAGTTATTTGTCTAATTTTTTTTTTATTTTTAGCAAAGACTCATTGAGATGGATAAAATCTTGAAAGACATGCTTGCAGATTTTGAAATAATAAAAGCACTTGGTGCACAGCTAGCGGTAAGAAAAATTCGGTTGTATTCATGTTAAAGTTTGTTATTTACTTTGTAATTTTCTCTTTTCTTTTAAGTTTTACCGCTTGAAAATCGAGATCAGAAAATTAAGCGGTGTATGACAGTTCTAAGAAAAGAAGTGAAGGAAAGCCTTACTCGATGAAACGCATATACGGATTAAACGCGATAATATTACTCTTAGTTTATTGCAGAGTTTCGTAAGCTGTGCGTCACGACCCCCATGAGAATCGCGGGACATGCAGCAGGAGGTCACCAAAAATTTTTAGCAGTTTTGATATTTCGTTAACTTATTATAATAATTTTACAATTACTAAATATTTTCTACACAATGTATCTGGAAATAGATAAAGATAAGACAATACAGACAAAAAAAACGAAAAAGTTTTGATGCATAATATAAACGTTCATTTTACTTGCTTTGCACGTGAATCTGTCATTTCGTCTGTTTTACTTATTTAAAATTTTCACATTGTTTTGTGTCTTAAAATTAGAATTTAAAGTTAATGATCTAAAAACTGCAATAGTTTATTACAGTACAAGTGCACTCACGTGTGTGCTGAATTTGCGCACTGCTTATGGAGTCTCACAAAATTTTCGTAACTATTATGAGGTGCTGTGATCGCGAAAAAATATCAGTGATAAAAAGGGGCCTCAGTAGGTTTTTGCATATTGCTATCTGTACATTGGACTACGTTTAAAAATAAGTCAAATTACTGAGTTTAAATATGAAAATTGCTTTTATTGCTAAAGATCTAATCAAATGAATTAGCTGGAAAAGGACTACAGGTGGTCTCATTTGTATTTTGCAATTACTGCAGGGCTTTCTAAAGCAGGAAAAACGTGTTCTTCCATTTTTATTAACACATCTTAGGAAATAATTTTTAATGCTAGTGTACTTATTTGTATCCGTTTCATTATCGTTCGTACTTCCATGATAAGAGAAGATGAATGGTCTTGGGCAACATTTTGGGTAACATTTGGGTCTTGGGTATCATTAGTTTCTATGGTTCGTTTCAAATATCGATGCAAACAATAAGTATCTTGAAATTACAGATATTTTTTGCTTTTATCTTGTATCCTTTCTCAGTTAACGAAATAAGTTAAAAATTATGAGAAAAATGCAATTTTTTAAATGAAATTAAACCATTTTAGAATATGTAAAGTTCAAAACATATGAACTGATGTTGCTAATAAGAGGTCTTAAAATATAATTTATTATTTATGTTAGTTATATAATGACCAAATTAGATAAAAAAGGCAATATAGAGCTTGATGTGATGTGATCCTGACTCCAGAAATTCCATCTTACAAATATCGTTTTCAGATTTCATAAAAACTCGAATGATAGGAATAATCATAAATGTAGATTATAATCTAAGATAATTAACTGAACAGCAAAAAAAAACATTTTATTGTAAAACACAACATATTTATATAATTTTCGTATCTAGAAGCGGCCATGAAAATCAAAAAAAGTATGCGAAACTTTAAGGTTCAAGTATCCATAATAAAAGTCTAAGTATCAAAAGAGTTCTAAACTTCAGGTTATTTTTTATCCTTTTCTAGGCGCTCGACGAGAGCGCCATCTCTCTACTAAATGCAGAACAGATCTGTATCGATTATCAAAAATAAAAGAAGGAAAGAAGACTAGCAATAGAGCAGACACCTCTTTTTTAAAAAATAATTGTATTTCACGCTACGCTGTTTCTTAAATAATATTTCATTTATTAATATTTAAAAAGCTATAATTTATAATATTGTTACTTATACGAAACAGTCAGGTTAAACATCCAAGAAAACATTATCTGAAAGGTTGACTAACGAATGCAAAAAAGTTTCAGTTTCTTACATTTTTAAAAAATTTAAAAGAAATGTTGATATATTTATCTATACTGTAACTTGTGAAATGAATTGTATTTTAGATTCTTTTGCCAGTACTGTTTCTAAACGCATTTAGTTTTGGATTGTAGGCTATGCAGCTGGATCTTTCCTTAAAAGCAGATCGGAAAGAAATGGATGAAAAACTCGCTTTGGTAAGAAATTCTTTAAACGATAAAAATATTTTAAATGAATATATCCCACTTATTTTTATTAAATCTGTAACTTAAACACTGCAGAGTGTATATATAGTGCTTCTAAAAAGTGTAAGAAAATTTTTTAACAAATTCCAGTAAACGTCCTAAGCGAAAATTGGCAGAACTTGATGTTGTTGCATTGTTTCCCTAAAATATAGTCTGCTTGCGGACAGAATGTAATTCAAGAAATTAATTGCTAAATTTAAACCAGTGAATATTTTCTGTCATGGACTTGAATACTAAGCAAAGCGTAACAACAAAGTTTTGCAGCAAAATCGAAAAGCAACAACGGAGATATTTGAAATTTCGTGTATAGAATGCAAAGGTCAAACATGATCTTCTTATGTTTTCCTCAACATCTCAAATATCTTGGCTACTATTTTCCTGATGCTAATTAAATAATTAATATTGGGAATCCGTTATTTGTTTAAATATGTAATATTTGTAAATGATCCAATTTTTCTGCTGGTGTTTTATTTTATGATGGATTCATAGATGTTGCCAATGAACTCAGTAGTGAAGAAGAAACTTTCATAATTCTTTGTCACTTCAGCCTGTTCACCAGATACTTCAACGACTAAAGCTGCAGACAGCGTTTTCTTCCCTAAGCTGAAATTTCACTTTAATGATCGTTATTTCAATATTATTGAAGAGATTCTGGAAATCGTAACCAGAGACTTAATACTGTTCCAAAAAATAAACTGTATACTATAATGAAGCTGCTGTATAGATATGTCAAATACTGTGTAGACTTAAATTTGTACATTGAAAGCTATGATCTAAGAATGCCATTTTCTTCATTCATTAATTTCTGCTGTTACAGAAAGGGGATTTGGAGCTTGTCAATACCAAAGTCGACCAGTTAGAGTTCGAAACTGCTATTGAAGAGCTTGGAGAAGCAATTGGCTTGCTAGGACTGAAATTTCAAAAAAAGGTAAGGTTCTGATAAATTCACACATCTTTATGCGCAGGAACACACACATGCATGTACCAAAGAAATTTTTTTTTTTTTCAAGCTAACGACAGTTATATCTGACATATATTTCGCGATAAGTCAGATCTCTTTCTTTTGAGTTGGAAGCTGAAAAGAATATTTTGTTTCATATTTCCCCTCTCCCTTCTAAATTCATCGTCTTCTATTTACGAGTCTATTACGTACGAGTCTTTTACGTCTTTCTATTACGTACTTAACATAGTAGTAATTTCCTTTCACAGCAGAAATTTTCTAATTTGAATCAATGAGTCAATTAAAATCGCAACATATTGTGTCATTTGAAGGTTAACAATAATCTTAATGATTAATAATTAGGTTCAGGATTAAATGCTTTAAATTCTGCGATTATATCCTAGAACATTTTATGTTCAAGCAATTTATTTGCGCTTGAATTGAATTTCATTTGACCTTCCTGTAACTCGTGTTAATCAGTCTTTAGAGTTACTATGTAGCAATTCATATATTTTTAAAGATTTCATCTTCGTGTAACAAAATCAAAAATAATAGAAGAAATCATCGGGAAGTTTTAATGTGACATGGAGCCCGATATTCTTTAAAAACTGCCATTGCTTTTGTTGGCGATTCTTAGAGAAAAACCTAGCACTCATTTAACTCCAGTTAATGGTCTTATAGGTAATGGTCATTTATGTATCCAATAATGTAAGCAATATTTTTTACTCCTAATATGCACCCCTATTTCATGAACTTACAGTAAAACGTAAACACTTCAAGTGTGTTTCATCCCAAATTACTTAAATTGGGATGAATAATAATATGGCAGTGACTTTGGAAAAGAACGTCTGCTTAGAATGTATTTAAATTAAGAATTTTCTTTATTTTATTGGGAAAAAGGAAAAAGTTTGGTAATTAGTAAAAATTCGAATAGAAATGTTTTCTTTCTCAAGCTGTTAAAAGTATATCATAAGACTTTATTATACGGTGACAAATATTTCAATTTGTAGTAAAAAAGAATTTTTTAATATTTTTGAAAACCAAAAGGATCATAAAAGTTTAATGATACTGCGATTAAAATGTTAGTTATTAAATTTTTAACCACAGTAACTATGCTCCGTTCTCGTTCTTAATTTATTGAAATAATAAATGCCTCCCTAATAATCTAAAAGTATGGTTTGAACAACTTTGCGTTCCTTAGTTTAGTTCACAGTAATTTTGCAAAAGTTAAAAATATCTATTATAAAGAAAACATATATAATGAAAAAACGAAACAACACTAACGGTTCATAAATATTGTTTATCTAAAAGATTAATTGCTGCTTTTTTCTCATAAAAGAGGATATTAATTAAAAAACACGGCATCGAAAAGCCATATTGGTTACATTATGCCATTAGTATCATCAGAAAGATTACATGCTATCTTCACTCAGACCATAATACTCTAACATGGTCCCCGAGACTTTTGTATTGACGTCACAAAAATGAGGCAATGCAAGTCTTACCGATGATTCGGATTGTAGTTTAAAGAAAGGTTCTCGGCGCCTGTTCCTCTGGCGAGTTTTAGATACCTAGCTTGCCAAAATTGTGTAGAAAGATTTGGACTTACTGGAAAACTTGAGTAGAAAATATTTACAAGATTACAAGAGTGCAGTGTTGTGTTTTGTATAATTTCCGTATTGTCGAATTTCCATTTATGTGGCTAATAAGGATGGAAATAATTATATGGGGTATTCTAATAATAAGGATATGGTTTTAAAACGAAATATACGCCATGTTTAAAATGTCAAGGCTGTCATTAATATTTATTTGTATTTAGTGTTCTACTACAATTCATCATCTCTAAATACAGTTGAAGAGTGTTTAGAATCTGATTATAATTTTTGCAAAAAATAAGCTTCTCAGGTAAAACTCATTTCTGCTTAAACGCATATGCTAGCAAACAAAACTCGTTTTCGGTGTGCAAACAAGCCCCAAGTGATACATGCTTTGTATTCGCAATAGCTCATTGCATTGTGTGGGTTATGGTACAGTGATATGAACAGATCATTTTTGTTTTCTAAAACGACGGAGGAAATTCAGATACAGTGAATGATGAGAGATACCAATTAATGATAATATAATTTTTGTGGCCAAATGTGGAGAACATGTGGCTCCAGCACGACTGCGCTACATGTCACACTGTTAAGGCCACTATCGATGGTGAAAACAGTGCCTTGAAAATATAATTTCTCAAAATACAACTGTTAGTTGGGTTCCCAGAATATGTGTTTTAATTCTTTTAGATAGTTTTCATGCGGTTATTTGAAATCAGTGTCTATGGGAGCAAAACAGAAACTTTTGAAGCATAAAAAATAAACAGGGAACGATGCATTCATCTCATCAGGCTAGATTTATTACATACCGTCATCGAAAATTGAGTTCACCAAATTCGCTTGTTTGCACTAAATTCAGAAGGACATTTAAATTATGTTTTTTTTTTTTTTTTTTTTTTTTTTTCAAAACATAATGTCAAAAATTATAATGAATAACTAAATGTAAAATGATTGTTTTTATCTTAAACAGTTTTTATTTCATTTCGTTTTAAAATCTTATCATTCTTATTAGAAAACCCTTTACAAGCGTTATTGTGCTGAAAATTTCTTGTCTGTCTATCGCGTTCACTCGAACATCATGTGAACCAATGTCTCCTTTTTGCATTACTTTGTCTTTACTTGTTATGCTCATCCCCTTGTTCAGATCATATCTTTATGAGACTATGAATCTAAATGTGCCTGTTTATATACATAAACATAGAAGGAAAGGTGCGTATGACGAGAAAAACTGGAACGTAAGTATAAGTTTACAGAGATAGTTGCGTACCCTAATACAAAATTTTTTAAAAAACCAATTTTGCAGAACGAGGAATGGGAAGAACGCGCAGCTGAAATATGGAAAGCTATCGACGGTAAAATGTCAAGAGATATTTTTGAAGCAGCTATGGTAAAAGTCGAAGCTCGTCTTACAGCTCTTATGTATGGCTTAAAGGAACTCAAGAAAATAGTTCACAAATTACTTTATCCAGAATCATCTGGTGTTACCAGGTACTGAAAACGAAAAAATTCTTTCTTTGGTTATATACATAATTAAATTTAAAGAAATAAATTATAATTAGCATAGGATAAATTAAAGGACTTTTTTATATTTTGAATTCCTGGCTTTCATAAAAGATAGCTATCTCTCAGAGAAAATTATTTATTAAAAAATATCGAAGTCATCTTGAAAAGAGTCACGAAACAATCTGATAATTATGGATAAACAATAAGGATCGATGCATTTAAAACTGTGAACGATCTGTTTCTGGTGACAATACGACGGTAATACATAAAGCTAATCCATATTCTTTATTTTGCAAAAAAAATGTTTAAGATATAAGAATATAGATATACGATTTTACTATTTTACTACTGGTCACTTTCATAAATACAAATTGAAAGGAATTCATAAATTACGAAATTAATTAATTTCATAATTGCATAAATTATGAAAGGAGAATGTTTTATAACTGCTTTAAATACAAAATTTCTTTTATTCAGAAATATCTGCTATTTTCGTTACGTACCACCGTGTGCTGTACAAGGCTGAGTTACACATAATACTAAATACACTGTTCAGTAGAAGATTTTAAGAAAAGAAATGTGAAAATAAATGTAGAAATTTAGAAATTAAAATTAATACATGTGACTGGAAGATAAAACCAGGTTTGAAAAACATTAATATCTGAAACATATGTACTAAAATGTTTTGTTGCATATAAAAGAACTTCGATACTTCATCGGCACTTTCAATAAAGTTAAATCCATATATCATGTAAGCAACTGACCAGGAGACAAGCCATTGCTAAAAGATATATTAAAAATACTTCCTGATGTTCAATCAAAACTGGGTATTTGAAGCACTAAAGATGTTTGATGTGACAGAAACATAAGATGTCAGACAACTGGTAGTTCGGACAAACTTTCGATTCCCAGCAAGCGGGCTGGCTGCATGGGTGTTTTCGTAATTTTCTGCATGTGTATAGTGTATGGAGTATCTTTTGGATGCATACGTGAATAAAGCGGGCGCAGACAGTGCAAAACCGCTGAACGCTGGTAGTTCGGTTCAACTTTCGAATCCCGGCAAACGGGCTGGCTCCCTGTGTGTTTTCGTGATTTTACGCATGTGTATCGTGTATACAGTATCTTCTGAATTCATATTTGAATAAAGCGGGCTCGGCCCGCGCAAAACCGCTGTACACTGGTAGTTCGGTCCAACTTTCGTATCCAGACCAACGGGCTGTCTCTATGTGTGTTTTCGTCATTTTCCACGTGTGTATCGTGTATGCGGTATCTTCTGGATGCATAAGTGAATAAAGCGGGCGCAGCCCGCGTAAAACCGCTGAACATTGGTAGTTCAGTCCAACTTTGCAATATTCACTCAAGGGCTGTTTGCGTGGGTGTTTCCGTTATTTTCCCCATGTGTATCGTGTAAGTAGTATCTTCTGGGTGCATTAGTAAATAAAAGCGGGCGCAGCCCACGCAATACCGCTGGACACTGGTAGTTCGCTCCAACTTTCGAATCCCTGCGAACGGGCGGCTCATGTGTGTTCGTATTTTAACCATGTGTATCGTGTATACAGTATCTTCTGGAGGCATACTTGAATAAAGCGAGCGGGGCCCGCGCAAATCCGCTGAACACTGGTAGTTCAGTCCAACCTTCGAATACCCGCGAAATGGCTGTCTGCATGTGTGTTTTCGTGATTTTACGCACGGGTATCACGTATGCAGTATCTTCTGGATGCATACGAGAATAAAGCGGGCGAAGCCCGCTCAAATCCGTCGAACACTGGTAGTTTGTCAAACTTCGAATCCCGGGAGCGGGTGGCTGCTGTGTACTTTCGTGATATTCCGCATGTTTTAACATGTATGCAGTTTCTTCTGCATGCACACGTCAATAAAGCGGGCGCAGTCCAGATAAATCGCTGTACACTGGTAGTTCGGTCCAACTTTCGAATACCACGAAGGCATCCATCCCCTGAGGTAGCGGGCTTCAGCCCGCTCAGCTGGCGGGCTTGCCCGCTAGTATTTATAATTAAATACGTAACAATGGGCAACTGCAGTAAGGTATGATTGATTTTAAACATAAGAATTTCTCATTTCTGTCGATTAACATAAATCCTTCATAAAAGATTAAATCCTTTGCCCCCGTAAATAGTCATAAAATTGCGGTACATGCTCTGGTATTAGGTAATTCACGAATTACATAATGCTACAGTAATTATTCTGAAGTTAAAACTTATAGCTGTTGCAACCCATGAATATGTGCTGCTGAAAGACAACTGGAAATTCCGTAAATGTCGAAAAATAAGATGTCATGAAATATTTGATGGTAGAAATTCGCTTTTTCAAGATGTAGCTTATTTCATATACATGCACATTGCGTCTATAGTGTTATAGGGTAAATTCATGAAAGTATAATTCTTACAGGAAATAACGTCATCAATGTGTAGTCTCTTTCTGTGTGGTTTTCTTCTAATGCCTTATATCTCTTGATGTGCTCGAAGCAATTTGGCGCTTTCGAAGATCCAAAATTTAGAATACCCCTACATTATATTCATACGTTTCATTCTGAGTGTTTGAAATGCTGTAACAGTCATGTCTTTTAAAATTTCCTTTTACATATAAAGCTATTAAAATACTATCTGTTGCCCTAAAACAACATCTCATTTAAAAGAGTCCAACACGAGTTTTTTGTTGCTGCATAGAAAAAGTATAATTATGAGAATTTACCAGGTAAAATAAGATCCCTGGTGATCTAGGATTGTAGGCTGAAGTCTTGTGGGCTTAGCAGTAGTCTGTTACTGACTTTTAAGAACAGAAATCTGTTCGATGTTAAATCTGTGAAGGAGAAAATACTGCATAAAAGTCACATAATTCCTTGTGATCAAAAGCTTGAAAATAGTCGCAAACACATGAATTTTGAGAAACTTTCCTGAAATAATGATATTTACTAAATGTGCGAATTCTAACGAAAAATGGTAATACGAAAATGTCATATGTGGAAATTTCGTCGTAGCGTGTAATGTGAGCTTTATGTTTTATCAAAATTCCTTCCAAATTTGTGCATATGTTAATATTAATGATTTTCTCTTTATTTAGATGCATAGCATGCAGAAGACCAGCCTGTATATCTGGAATGTAAGTTCAAATACACAGGTATCCTTATGAAGTAGTATTATTATTCATTTAAAACTCAAACATTCAAAATTTTCCTTGAAATTCAGATCTTAGTATTCTATGAAACAGTCTAAAAAATTTAACAATGTTGTGCTTACGATCATTTTAAGAGTACATGATAGTAAGATATAGTAATGGTATGGATAGCAAGATATAGTAATGGTATGGATACTAAGATATAGTAATGGAAGGTACATGAGATATAGTAATAATAAATATAAATTTACTAAATTTTTACATATTTATTCTGATTGACGTTTTCCAGAAAATATACAAAATATAAAAATCATCAGCATATACATTATAATTTTTATAAGAAAGACTATTTATGTAAGGAATTTAATTAAAAAAGACAAACGTTTGTAGCATTTTAATGTTTTCTACTTATCAAACTAAAATCTTTACTTCCTTTAATAATTATCATGATTGTTTCTAGATTAAAGAGCATCGGATTATAGAATTATTTAACAAAGATATCTGTATTACCTGTGCAAACAACTTGAATAAATTTCATTTGTTGAATATTTTTCTTTCAATGAATTTGAGATTACCATTACAATCCATGCAGTTCAGTACTAATTAATTAATGTTTTATAACTGCTTTAAATACAAAATTATTTATATAATCAGATATATGAAGCTCTCGTATTATTTCTTTATAGTTCAGGAGCTTTTTAAATAGAATCTGCTAAATTTGACTTTTCTGTTAATCTTTTAGCAACTATGTGCTCTCTGTATTTCTAACACACAAGTTCTGGTACAAAAGCAAACATTTTTGCTAAACTTTCTACAGGAATAAGAGAAGTTTGAAATATTTTCCTACCAAAATCTGCCTTAAAAATGGTAATATTATGACAAACTTAGAAGTGACTTTTCACCAAAATTTATATTTCTGCTAGATTATTGATATATAAATACACATATGAGATATAAAATATAAAAGAAAAATATTAACTTTAATTTGAGAATAGTCGTATTTATATCCCAATTTAATTTAGTTATAAAATCCCTTTCTATTATAAAAATAGAAATTGTTTATAATATTGTTTGTAATAATTTTACTGGACTGCATCTTTCAAAATTCACTCGTTTCATATTTGCTTATGCAGTTATGCGGTCATCTGTCAGCCGATCAGATTAAAGAAATATTTTGCTATATATCTAGAACTCTTCTGATGCTTTTCCTATACTTCTACTTCGCTTTCATGCTCTTTAGACATATAACTTAACCCCTACTAGCTATTGTCCATTGCTCTGATAATATAAGCTGTATGAAATTGTTGGATGCACATAGTACCCGTAAAGATGATGTGCATTGGAAAGAATAGGCATCGTAAGAACTCATTATCAAGGAATAAAATTATGTGTGGAAATTATAGCTACGTTTGTCTTAAAGTGTCACCTTTCTGACTCTGCAGTAAAACCTTTCTACATTTTTTCAACGCAAAGAACCATCCCTAATCTATTGCAGCACTTTTCCGGATTATTCGTTCCATTATCTATTTATATATATATATATATATATATAAATATTTTATTCACTAATGTAATATTAATTATAGTATCTCTTAATATAAAGTTAGTAGAATGTATCTGAATGAAGCAACCCAGAAGTATGAAATTTAATACCAAAAATAACATTTTTAAAGGAACTTAAATTTAAATTATAAAAAATCGAAATGCAAACTTTAAACATGGAAATTAATAAACCAAGTAATTATCGTCATTGATCTGAAATTGGTTAATTTTCAAGGGAAACAAACTAAATCCCGTTCAATTAACAATAATTAATAAATGAGAAGGTGTATTCGTCTTTTACTCAAATAAGAAACATTACGAAAAACTGGCAATTTTAGTTAAGGCCAAATTTGTAAGTCGAGTTTTAATTTAGTGAGATTAAAGTGAGATGAGTTCAAGTGAAGTACTACAAAGAATTCACTTTGAACGTAACAGCTCCGTTATGTTAATGAAATTTTTTGAAATCTCAAGATATTATAGCCAAATTAAGTAGGAGTGAAAATTTCTCTGCTGGATATAGTATTAGTAAATATTTTTATATACTTGAGTAAAGTGTCCCCCGACACCCTCGTTTTCAGGCGTGTCAATTCAAAGTTATTTTCATTAACATAAATAAAATTTAATCTTTGCCATATCCCCGAAATAAAAGTCAAAATAATCGTTATAAACACGATAAACAGAATAAACAATGCAATTCCCGCAAAGTTAATAAAATACAAGTTGAAAAATTGAAATAAAAGGTACAAGGTGTCTCTCTCTATATATACGAGTATATACATATATTGTTATTTTGAATTTAAAGTTGGGAAATTGGAAAAGAATAAATAATAAAAATAATTTTATAGTAGGCAGTTTAAAATTAGAATTTTTTCTTAAATGGTTATTGTTATAAAAGTTACATAATTTACTAATGAATAAGATGTCGAATTATTCCTTTTGAATTTAAACAAATCCTAAATTTACATCTTAAAACTCTAAAAAAAAAAAAACCGGCTAAAATTTGAAGTAATGTGTGCGTAAGCATGCCATTTTCATATTTTACAAGAATAAAGCAATTTTTCCCCCAGCTGTCTAAATGAGTGATATACCTCTGATACAGGTGTTCAGAAAATCCAGTGGTTTTAGTATTAAATGGATTTCAATGATGCAGATGAAACTAATAACACTTAAGTTTATAATCGTGATGAATAGGCAAGATTTCCAACCGATGTAGCTCCTATTTTAAAGAATATTTTAGTGTAATGAAAAGAATAAAGCAATCTTTTATTATAAGAATGGTTAACGACTGGCTTTTAAAAAGATCCCCTTGGCTTTAAAAAAGATCCCCTTGGCATACACAACGGCTAATGTTTCTGGAGATTTTGAAAGCAAGCGGGGAAATCTTCAATTGTGATGCTTGCAAGCTCATTTGTCACAGCTCGTTGGTCGTAATCTTGATGAAGCATTCCTTTCAGTCACCTTTCCACTGATAGAAACAAGAAAAAATACAATAATCTTTGACTCAAATGTAGGATCATATCTGGCTCTGTCCAATAGTTAAGCAGAACTTCTTCGTCTTTCCTCTTTCTGTTCATCTGTTACTGAGCGAGGGACAATTCTTGTATTAAGTTCCCGTTTCCCTAAATATTCGCGTTAAATCTTATGACACTCATCACTATTCAAATACAATTCTTCTAATATCATAAGACAGTTAATTGACGAACTTCTTGCAATAAGTGCATTACACGCTCCGTTATTGCATCGGTATGTGCTATAAACGGGTGACCATCTCTGGGATCGTCTTGCACTGAATCTCTACCTTCACGAAACCTTTTATGCCACTCGAAAACACGATTTCTTAAAAGTGCCTCACCCGCATATAGTTGCCTAATCATCTTTCATGTTTCACTAAATGATTTCCCGAGCTTAACGTAGAACATAATGTTCACTCTTTTCACACAATCAGCATCCATTGTATCACGTTAACGAATGCGACAACAGTCCGAACAGTGTGTTGCTAAGCACATCCTTACCACCTAGTAAGTTTGCATGGCAACATGGGAGAGATCATACCAAGTAAGAATACATACCAGGTTAACATAAAAACAACATTTATTCCTTTTTAATATTGCAAACCCAGAAATAAAAAAAAGTGTCCTGGAACTTTTTGTACCAAAGAATGCACGATTTGTATTTTTTACACTGTCACTTCTACCTCTTTGCGTTAGTTTTTTAATATTAATTTTTTATATTTTTGTGTCATAATTCACAGAGCTTATTTTTTTCTCTTTGTTACAAGAATACATTTACTTCACTTCTGTTATCGGAAATAACATAGTATTATTTTGAATAAGAAATGCATTGTTCTTGCTTTTGCTGTTTTCATACACATGTATTTCAATCTCAAATTAGCCATATGTATTTTACAGGGAATGTGTTGCAGGCGACAGAAGCCCGAAAAGACCGCTACCTCACTCTGGAGGGAGTTCAGATGAGATGGAAAAGCAAGTGTTACATTTTCGAAATGTTTATTACTTAATGTATCTGTTTGTAAACTAAAATACTCAAAATGACACTAAAATATATCGATTACCCTATAGTTACCTATATTCAGAAAGAGTTACTTTTCCTTTACTAATAAATATAATGGGAGGCATAGAATTTCTGTTCTTAAGAAATAGCACTGCTTCTTAAGAAACAACTGGACTATCTCCCAGAAAAGGAAAATTAAACTCAGACTTGCTTTTTTTACAAAACAGCATTGATTCTTAAGAAGTATCAAAACTGTCGTCCGGAAATAACAAAACAAAACAGCTTTGCGTCAAACTGCTCAAGTGTTGTGTTTGAAGAATTTTAGCCTAGAATGCTTTTCGAACGTTATTTGAGATATATTTCGCTTTCTTCGTATAGATTAAAGTTACACCACTTAAGGCTTTCATCAGAGCTTAAGCAAGCGTGTGTATTGATTATAATCTCTTTTAAATGGTTTTTAATATTCTTTTTTCTGGTAAGAGACATATGAGAATGAATGAACGGTCATCTTGGCAGCTCTTCTGATGGAAAACGCTCTTTAAGTGAGACATAATATAACAGTTTGGCAAGAAGAATTATTGCTGTAAGCTTGCTCGTATTAGGGTTTTTTTCTTTGTTGGCCCTAAGGAAAAACCCTTTAAATAAGAAAAATTCATCAGTTAAATTAAATGTTTTCTGAGTGTGTCTGTCCAAAGCAAAATGATTTTAACAAATTTGTCATCAACACGGTTTTCTTCTTTTGCAACTGAGCTCAGGAGGATGCGATATTCCTTCCAGATTTCAAAAAAGCGTAAACTGCACACTGCTTATTTGTTTTTCAGATTCGAATCTAAATTCTGAACCAAATCCAAATTTAACTGACCGCAGCCCAATTAAGTAATCTTCTCCTTAAATCAGAGGTATTAGTGATGATCACGCAACCGTCAAACTGGGGTTTATTGAGCCAATCCCTTAAATCACAGGTGCAAAACGCAAGCACAGAGTAAAATATATACTGAAAATGGTTAAATAGTTTCATAACGAGACGTGGGTTAATATTCAGGAAAATTAGAATTATATGTGTGCTAAAGAAAGAGAATCTATTAAAAGCCTACAGTATACAAGAGCTAGGATTATGTTTAAATTTGTTGGCTCCATGCTTTGAAATAATATTTCTAGATATATTTCTAGACTCCTGTTATAATGCTTTTACTGAATTTCGTCGTGCATAGCAAACATAATTTGTTAAATAGGTTTCCTGATAAACGAGTTCACTTTTTTTGCCCTTTAAAACCTCACTCCTTGAAAGCATACGATTCTATTATCGCGAGAGAAGTATTTTATGTCTATTAAAAAATTAAAGAAGTTATCAAAATTATTGTTTATGGACAATTATTAAACCTGTTAAATTAATTTGATTGAAGGAAATTTTAACATAACTGCTAAAGACATTTTAACAGAACATATCTAATCTTTGGAACAGGTAAGTTTCTTAACTTTCTCCATGAACAAAGCGCCCAAGATGATCCTTCATTCAAACTACGAACGGCAGCTCGAACCAAGATCGTATGTCATGTTTTTAGCTTCTTATTACACAATATTCTAAGGTGAAATTTCCCCCAAATGCATTGTATTTGTTCATCTTTATTGTAGACAGTCTGCTAGTAAAAGAACTCTTTTGTGGTTTCTTATGTTTAGGTTAAATATGACTTAGCAAGCACTCAGTGGCTAATGGTAGCTCCTTGTTCGGGACTAGATTTTGTATCATTTGAAACTTTCACACATTTCACACGTTCGTTAATGAACGTGGGGAGAAGAAGTTGTGAATCGGAAATCGAATTTGATATATTCTGTCATTTTAAGTAATCACGTGAATCAAGGCTTTGGCTTTCAAAAGGTTAACTCCGTACCGTCTACTGTTATACTGAAATATTTCCAAAAGCGCTTTCTAAAAAACTGTAAATAGTTCTACATAAGAAGCCACACATGAAAAATCGTGAAAGATTGCAAAATCTCGCAACAAACAAAGCCATATAACACGAAAACAGAACAAACACGGCAACAGAAAAAAAGACGTACAAATGCCAGCCTGTTTCAACCTGTACCTGTACCCTTGAGTGGCCATGATTTAGGGCTTGCGAAATGGTTGCCCAAATATGAGTCTATCGTCGATGTCAAGATGCATCGCACTTATTAATTCATCATTTGTGTGTGATTTGTTTGACGTGTACTCTAAAATCTGTGTTTAAATTATAAATATCTATCCTACCATTTTATATCTATTCTAATAAATAATGACGAGCGAAAGAGTGTAATTATTTAGTTGGAGTTACAGATTCTGAATAAGTAACTTTTTCTAATTAATTAATCGGGTTATTGCGGATTAACTTAAGTCATTAATTGTGTCTTTTGTTGTGGAATTAAAGTCACTAATTTTAAATTGAAACCCGTTTTATTACAATAATTCGAAGATGAAATCTATCAGAGATGTTTCCTATCGTAAATTGCTTGAAAACTTTGCCACATCTAAACTTGACCACATCGCTGCCACACTTTTCTAAAAGAACTGTTCTTCAGGATAGGCCGCGGCATAAATCCTGTAGCTTTGCCTTTCACTTGATTTACCTGAGAGGTTCAGGTGGAATGCATATTTAATGTAATACCCAGATATTTGGCCCACTTACTTGCAGGAACTCTTTCATTAAAAATGAGTAAGTCACTATTCATGACCTCCAAAGTCTTGTACAATCTGATCATAAACAGTTGTAATTTTAGCTTTTCAATGAGAGTTAGTACTTTCTGCTGTCTTTGAATAGAAAAATCTGTTCTTCTGGACTTCGTAATGATGCAAGTAAACATTGCAACCTAGAAAAGAATCAAGATTCATTATGTCATTTGGAAGTTATAAACAAAAAGGAAGTAGAATACAGGGCTTAGTATAGAGCCCTGTGGAACATCAGCTTCAAAAGGAGAGCATTCAGAGTAATAGTTTTATTGTCGTAGTGTGAACCTTTTGCTACGCAGGAAAGAGTAAATCAAAAGAATGATTTCACTTACAAAGCTGATTTTGATGAGGTTTTATAGCAGTTTCTCATGCCAAAAAGCGGTCAAAGACTTTGGCCACATACAATAGGGCGAAAGCTATGCTTTGCTTATTGTGAACTCTGCAATATAAAGACAATAAGCTACGTACGTACATAATCTTTTCGGAGCTGTCAGGAGCTGGTGAAAGCAGCTATGCAGTAATGGAATCAAAACTATCAACAATAATTAAATTTAATATGTTGCGTTGATCTACGAGGTGGAAGATAATTTCACGTGAAACCAATTACCTTTATACTTACTCTGTGCTTCAGAATGCAATTTGTAAATAGTGCGTTATATTAGGTGTTTTGACACATCGATTATTTTGTTACTCTTAAACATCGCAATATTTTATAAAACGACAAATCAAATTAGCTCTAATGTTATTATTTGCTTTATAAATGCAAGTATGCAAGTGCTACATTTAAAGAAGGTTAATTATATTTTAGCTCTAAAACATGTTTGTTTTTTCGCAAAATATTTCAGGAATTTTCAAAAGCTCGTATGATAAGACTATTTTTACAAGATTTTCGATTCCTTTTCTCTGGAGCATTTGTTTGTGTACTCCTCACTCATATCTTATCCTTTTGCTTTAGACTCTGACAAATCTATAATTACCTCTAAGAAATTATGCTCATAGAGTAAGTATCTCACAAGTTAAATACAGGAAACCTTCGCGAAAGCCTAATATCACAATGGGCAGAGTTTATAAAACAAATGAGTATTTCACTTCTTATCAATTCATCACACACGAATGTATCTCTTAATGAAATATATGCTCAAGAAATGCAATCAAAATACTTATTCTTACTCTATTAGGTTTGAGCAAGAAAAGTTCCTTATTGCTGGTATAGTAAATATTTAAATAATAACTATGTGTTTTGAATTTAAGCGGATTTCTAAATTTTAACTGCAAAACATACCTTATTTTCCTATGCGAGAAATCTTTGTTATCCAGCAATTTTCCAAGAATTTTTCCAGTTATTTTTCCAGGAATTTAGGATTTAGAAACTACTGACTTTCTAAAGATATTCTCGATGTCTTGTCCAAGTCATCTTGAAAGAAAATAATTTACAGTATTATACTGATAAAATTTTCTTTGTGAAATAAAGCACTCAAACTTCTCAATTCTACTGTCATTTTATTAGAGTCGGACCGCAATCAAAGCATTGTTATCGGAAAGGATGAAGAAGCATAACTTTAAAAGCTATACGAATAAACTAATTTTAATAATCCTTATCAACAAATGCCTCTCATAATTTTCTTGTATTTGGTTTTTATTTTCAAATTTAAAGCTCTTTTATCAAATTTATCAAAACATTAATACTTGGTATCCGAATTATGCGAATTCTAGATTTAAATTTAAAAGGTTTATTACTTTTTACAAATGATGCTATAATATATTTCAGCTTAAAGAAAAAGGTTGAGTTTGTGTCAGCGAAAAGGCCAAAACTGGAAGGTCCTCCCTTTCCTCGTAAAATTCCAAGTATTATCAGGTATGGTGACTTCAGTAAACATAGTAATTCATTAAAATATTGCACGTATGATTGTTATACATAAAAATACTAATAATATAGTTATTTTCATAGCGATTGAGAATTTTGTGGATATTTCCGCTCGAGTCTTTGGTCATATGAATCAATATTATTCAGTAATAATAATAGCAGTAAAACTGCATTTATTTATAGAGCTATTAGACCGTTGCATATGGAACTATAAATAGTTATTATGAATATTTTTGAAAGGACTAAAACGTGCATTTCATTGTTAGAGTAATGATTAATAATAATTCATCCAAGACATTCCGCCGTTTTAAAAAAATTACATAATACTCTATTGTTTACTTCATGATTCAGATTCTTATTTCTAGGTAATATTCTTAAAGTAGTTTTCGTTTCTCTCCTTCCATCTCTAAAATGGATAATTTATTGCTTAAACTTTCCTAAATTCTCGTGTTTTAATTTTAATGAAGCATATTAATTACTAAATTCCTAAAAAATGGAATCATAGATAATTTTTTCTTGTTTCAGTATCACGATAGAATTTTCAAAATGTGAAAATAACTTCAATTAATAATAAAAGTACAGGAATAATATATTTCATGTACTCTACATTTTTCGAGCACTGAAAATTTACACTGTGTGATACTTACTTAGAGGTTTCTAATGTCATCTTTTTATTTTACAGCATACCTTACAATACTTCACAGCATGTACAGTAAGCTTATTTTATTAAATATTAACATTATTACATTTACTAATTATGTTTTCTCATCAATTGCTCTTTAAATTTGTCATGTAAAATACTTTAATATTATTTTAAAATGCACAAAACACATTTTTTCTTGATTTCTCCTTTCTCTATCCTTCCAATTCTAATTTCAGTTTATGTAGTTAACTTTCTTAGAAGTTCCGTAAACATATTTTTCTTTAATTTTAGACATCAAACTGGCCATAAGAATCCTGATCTTCATCTCGCACCTGTGGGTCCTGATCTGGAATCAAAAGGGTACATTTCAATTATTTATGCATGCATATCCTATTATAATCATGAGATGATAAAATTTTCTTCACTGTTATATACAAGTTTTGGCAAACAAACATCAGTCTGCGAGAAAGCACTGCTAGGCTTGTGATTTTATTCATGATATTATTTGGAACAGCCTGTTTGCATTTTAAATGCTTTCCTCGTATCTGTATCTCACTTCAGTAAAACAAAAAATATATGTATAGATAAATAAAATTCGGAATTTTTATCTGAAAACGTTTCGTATTAAAAAGTGTTTTACAATTCTACACTGAAGTTTTTCAGTGTCCTGCTATTATTACTGGTAAGAGATTAGGATAGTATTTTTGCAAGTGGGAATAAGCAAACTCATTTGAAACTTTGGCTGTTTTCTCGATAGTGTGAACTTATAATTAACTACTTCTCTCGAATTGTATTGCAATCAATGCCGTATGTGTAGCTAGTCTATTATTATTTTTCCAGTTTTATGAACTAGATACTCTTTTACACAAAATGCATAGAAAATGGTACTATTGTCGAAAATGGGCTGTATAATTTTTTTTTCCAATTTACCTGAAAACTGGCGTTTCCTAATAAACCAGAACACAATGAGTAATTTTCTTCAGTCAAGAACAGAGAGAGAACTAACACAAAAATGGCTAAATTTGTAAAGATAAAAATTTAAATAGTTATTCGTGAAATTTTGCTAAATCGTCTGCGCCTTTGGCGACATTTGGTATTTTCAGGTCAGAGATTGGGTGATTATGGCCGCCAATTTTGGCGACTAAGCGCAGAGAGAATTTTAACAAGCAACTGGCTATTTTTTTTACAATACAGACATATATTGTAATAAGGTTATATGTTATGGCGCGGTCCACCCTCCTGGCAAGTCCAAGGTTATTTTCTCTCTCTATCCAGCACCCCTTCGTAGTGTTACGGTAGCACACTCAGGGCATATTCGAGAGGTCCATGGTTCAACGCCCGGCCACGACATTGCACATGTGTCACATCTCTTGCTTCAAAACCAAAATTACTCATTGTATATATTTTTATCTAATCACTCTACAAGGTTATATGAGGTTATGTGTTATACCATATCCATTTGGTTTATGAAGCTATAGAAATTACTTCCTATATGCAAATTGTAAAATGTATATGGATCGGTTAAATGAAAACGTAAACAATAGAGCTAAAATTTCCTCAAGTTATAGAGTAGCAATTCATTTCCAAATACGCTAATAGCTTTTTGGATGTTACGGGATAGAAACAGGCTCGCGATGTCACCAGTAAGGATTCAAATATGTAACACTGAATCGCCCTTCTAGGCTGATGACACTTGGTTTAATGATGTTCTGTCTGATATAGGTACTTCAGTTTCCCAGTTCTTCAGGAAGTGAACAATAAGGAATCATATCATTTTTGCTGGCCAAACGTAAGGAGCTGATCGACATTTATAGAAGCACATAAGCCATTTATGAAGAAAATTATATTAAAAAAAGGGCCAGTAAGCAACTTACTTTGTAAGATCGTGGAACCTGTTTGACATTGAAAGGCCCAGTCAATGAAATGTAACTATTTCATATAAAATGCATGAAATCCATCATAAAGTTAAAACAACATTTTTAGGCAAAGTATTCGTCAAACACACATTTCGTCCAATTAGAGATCAGTGTTGTGTAACAGGATATTCAACGTTATTCTTTGCTTTGAATGATCATAAAACCGTTTCTGACCTGTAATCCGGTAAGTTCAAGGCCCTATTTAAAGCAGAAAATGTTACATTTTTACACAGGGTAATTTTCAGCACCGTCATAACCTTTTATTTTACCAATCAAAATAATTAATGTGAATTATTCGGAAAGCTGCTATTAGAAAGGATGTCTTCCCAGTTTCTTTGAAAAGCTGGGTTCTGTAGAATTCTATTTATCTATTGCCAACAATTCAAATGGTACTGTGCAATTTTATAACCAGCAGTACTAAAAGCATTTTGTAATTTTTCTTCTTTTAATGATAAGTTTCAGGATATGATATTTTATTTGCATCTTTTCAATATCACAAAATGATAGGAAAGAAACAGAAAGTAAAACGTGATGCCGATTAATAACGTCAGAAGGGATTGAAAATGCCCGCATTTCTTACGTTTCTCTTGCACAAGACATTTTTCTAATTTTAGGGAGGATCAAGACCCAAAACAAAAGACTTCTCAAATTCCCAAGCTACCAAAGATCCATGAAAACCGAATTTTAAAATCTTCATCTAGGTAAGTTAATAAATGTTCTTTAAAGTTTCTCAGTCACAGCGAAACCAATTCAGTGCGTTTAAAAATGACTGGATATTGAATACAATTACTTATTAACCTGCGGTTATTTTACCATTTAATTTTAAGGAATCTGGTGTTTATCTCAAATAAGAGCAAGGATAGTTTTCGTTTAATATGCAGACTAATCAATACTCACCCCACGTGCAGTTATTCTTAACCCGTAACAGAGAAAATATAAATACAGCTCAATCTAAGTGATATATCAGTTTAAGAAATAACCCTCTAAACATAATTATATTTTACATCTAAAATCGTACCTTTAAACTTTTAATATCGTAAAATTGAATATTATATTTTATTTAATAACTTGATGCCCAAATTCCCGTTCTGTTAGGTGTGTTTCACTGCATTACTGGGTTTTGAAAGCATTTATAATCGCATTTCAAATGATGGCGATCTCATCTACTTTAGTATCGCACTAATTGTTTTACATTTTAGTACATTAATAATTATTTATTGCTATTTTAGAATTTTCTCAGAAAATATACTACAATAACCTATTTATAAAAAGAAGTTTTCCTCTTAAATCCCTTTCTGGGAAACCCAGGCATTTTATTTACTAGATTAAAAATTTAGAAAACATATTAAGATAACTCTTTATTTAATTCTTAATATCAATATTTAGAAAATACATATTTTTGTATATGTATATCGAAAAGTATGCAATTTAAACTATTTAGATAACTATCTTGTAGGGTACATTCCTCATTTCAACTCACGTATGTGAGGCAATGTTAAATTGGAGTTCATGTTTCCTTATAAAACAACTTGAAAACTGCAGAATCGTCTAGAATATGTGAAGCTGCTACATATCCAGGTTATAATATAAATGATTTTGAAAAGGAAGTCAATTAGAGAAAGCAGCAAAAATCTGCAAGTTACAGATAATGAGAATTTAATTGCGTACACAGCGAAAATTGCAGTTTGGGCCATCGAATCACTTGCTTTTTTAAAATAGTAAGCTAAATTCTTTAAGCATTTATACACATTCATCGTTACAAACATGTCTTAAACACGTTTTAAAATTGAGAAGTACTATCGCGCAATCAAAGGAAACTAGTATCTATCAAATCAGTGTAATTATTTTTAAGGTAATCTACACATTGCTTTAAAAGCTTGTTTATGATAGTTGAGCTGAATACTCTAATTATGTCCATGGAAGCGGGAAAGTAGCAAATACCAAAGACTTAATTAACCTTAATTGGGTAAGCTGTCTTAGTCGTTTTTAATCAGGACTTTCCGAAATGGAGCTTTTGATTGTACATGGGAGTATATTGTGAGTATTTCGAAGAGAGATTTAAGGTTTCATTCGTGAAATTATACACCAGAATTTGAAGTTATTAGGACAGAGAGCTTGTCTCATTAATTATGGCATGTCAATCTGAATTGAATTGAACTGCAGTTAAAATTAAGAGTCTAATTTATTTCATTTCAAAGAATTGACAAAAGTTTATGCCATACAAAAAGATTTAATATTTATTATGATGGAAAAATCTGTAAATTTAAACTTACGGTTTCATTTACTCGAACGCATCATTAAGTACTGGAATGAAAAAAAGTGGATACATAAGTTAACATTTTATTTATTAACACTTTTACTTCTTACTATTGAACAAAAATCTATGGAATACAGGTTCATGATACGAGAAGCACGAGAGATATTGTGAATATCAGCTCTACGAATATATTGCGTAGATTTACGCGGATAAATGCAGTGTTGATATTTAATTTAGAATATATAGATATATGAAGGAGGTCTCAAAAGAATTCACGAAAGTTTATGTCATACAAAAATATTTAATATTTCTTATAATGGAAAAATCTGTATCTTAACATTAGACTTTCTGATGCTCGTGACATTAACATTTATTACTGAAAAAACATTTAGATAAATATTTTGAAAGATTTTAGTTTAAATAATGGGAGTTTTAAGGATCTGGAATGAACAATTTAATCCAAGGTTCAGCCTTAGGCGTGTTGCTCAATGGATACTATTTTTTTCAGGTAGCATTCCTTTTGCGTTAAAGAGATAGCATTGTTTAGAACTCTACTTTTTAGAAAGTTAAATTTTCAAAAGTGTAAAAATTTCGAAATTAAAACACAATTAAAAGCATATAAAATTAAAAAAGAAGAGAAACACGCCAAATTAAAAAATAACATTGGGCAGAGAAACAGCCTTGTATTTGGCGTAGATTTTAATTACGATTCTCTCGATTCTGAGGCTCCCCTTCATCAAGAACAAAAAGTCAGCAAAAAAGTCGATGCTTTGATGCTTAGCTGTTTATTCTGTTACACAGCAGGAAAAATTCCCGCTCTTACCTCAATAAGAGAAAGACCTTAAGGAATCCCAATTAGGGCCTAAGAATAGGAAGTTCCTAACATGGCGAACATCGCATGGAAGGGAATTGAAAGGCAAATCGAAAATGAAGCACTTTGCCTCTGGAGAAAACTCACAGTCCGTCCTAGCGATAGCATGGCACTATCTCTCAGGTGAGAAGATAAATACTCATCTGCAAATAAAGGAAACGGGCCAGGAAGGCATCTGGGCGCCTTTGGTTGCCGTCACGTCGCACGCAGGTTGCTTCATCATATGTTGATTTGAACAAATTTAGATTTCTACAAAAATTTCTAATAGGGTGAGAGCCAACTTTAATATCTGAGTTGGCGATTTCGTTATTTTGCGCTTTTTTAGCAATTTCTAGGACTCTAGAGAGTAAATTGATGATATTCTTACACGAAAGAAACACCCCCTTCTTGGAATCGTAGAATGACATAGCACTCTTGGGAAACAAAACTCGAGCCTGGCTGTTTCAGAACCCTCAGGGAAGATCGTTCAATGAGATTGAACCGATAGGGAATTGGCCGTAATTCCCCAAACTAAAGGTATAATTAGCTGTGCAAAGGCTTGTATATTATCCACAGAATTTTGTTTAATTACAATAGGATTAGGAAGTCCGCGTATTGCTCGCGGGGGTATTATTGATGATCAGTAAACTTTTCAGAATTATAGAGCGGTGTCCCATAGTGGTCTCTGTTCACCGTGCAGTTCAGACATGGTTTTGAGCGATGTTTTCTAGTCTTTCGCCTTTAAGTGTAGGACAGGCAGCAACATAGTGAATACATTTACTCTAGTTGGTGCCGAGATTTGCCTGACAGATCCACCTTTTGTCTAATATGGAGGTCTTAAGTTTGTTGGTTGTGGCTCGGTTCTGCATCTATCTGAGCTAAAGTTACCGGCAGTTAACATTATTCGAAATTCAGTTATCCCGCAGTATCCGCAGTTATCCGAAATCCATCACAGTCTTTTCAGTTGAAGCAATTCGTTCTTGAGAGGACTTCTGGAAAGTGGGCGTTAAGGCGGGAAAGAAATTGATCAGCTTTGAACTTGACGTTTTCTCATAGTTTTTTCGAAAGTTAACGTGAACCAGTTTGTATCAGATACAAATTGGTTTTACTAGTTTTGAGAGCTCGCTAGTGTACGTCAAATGGACTCCGGAAGTGAGGCATCACGATTTTCCATTACAAAGAAAACGTCTGTAGCCAAATCTCTGAAATCTGTAACTTTGGTTCAGACTTTTACCTGAAGACGTAGCGCCATCTTTTCCGCAGAAACAGAAAAAAAATTAACTTAATAGAATTTGGAAAGCGTTACAGACTGGATTAATATCATTAACTAAACAATTTAAATCTTTGTGACTATGAAAAGTTTCAAAGAAATCTAATTCACCAACTGAACAAGTTCTTCGGATAATTTTTTCACAAGTCAAATTCGGGATTAAATTTCCAACTGTGATTAGCTATAAAAAAGTTTTTAATTTCTTCTGTTTGGGCATGAGATCGGTTCCTTGATGCGAAATATTAACTCTTTTTTAGTTTTCCCTGCATAGCTCAAACCAGACTAACAAGCTATGCTACACATTTTCGAAGAATTAATGTCAATTGAATCTTTGAGAATCTAACTACGGATTTTATTGACAGGTGAGAAAATGCTTTTAAAATTGAAATTCTGAAAAATCCGCTCAATATTGCAATTGATGAAGGATGAAGTAGAATACAGGATTATAATATCATTTCTCCCAACGGAATATCATTTATGATGGCAAGAGGAATATTTTAAAGAATTTATCAATAACAAAGTAAGAAAATCCTCTGTCAGTAGTGACTGATTTCAAATAATTGAATTCATGAGAAAGTAAAGATGAGAAATAAACTCTGACAGCGTGAAATGCATAATAGTAAAAAGAAGACATTCTTTTGCCAGGATTCAGCATGTAGACGCAAACAAACAGAAGAAGATTCAAGGTAAACAGTAGTGCTGAAATCAGATTCGTTGCGGATTATAATAATATCAAGGAAGTGAATTGTATTGCCAGTTTCAGTGTCAAAAGTGAATTGGATATTTGGATGAATGGGATGATAGCAGATAAAATCAGGAGTACATCTTAATAGCCATCAAAAAGTGCGGAAATGTCGTCTACACAGCAAGTCTAGAAACGGAAGAAGGTTCCTAGGTTAAGAACTATAAGTTGAAAAGAAATTCCAATTTTGTGGACTTTGGGGAAGAACATAAAACCTAGCACAGGTTGCAATGGTGATTTTTCAAACTGAGGAAGTATATGAGAAGATTCAGCAGTTCTTTTAACTTTCGTGAAGTCAGAAGTTGAATCTTAAAGATCGAGCAGTATAGACATTCATTTATAAGTTATGTGACTCGAGTAATATATGTGTATTTTTCGATAAAAACAATATGTCAAAGCTTTCAGCTTTGCATGACACACTTACATTGATGGAAACACAAAACTGGAAAATACACACCTGTACTGTTCGATCTCTATGAATCCTCCAACTTCTGATCTTATAAAATTTAAAACAGCTGTTAAAACTTCTGATATATTCCCAACTCATTTTAAAAAATCACTTATGCCACCTAATACTAGTAG